TGCCGGGGCCCGGGGCGCTGCTCGCCGCTGGCTTGGGCGGCTCTGGCCGGAGCGGGGCGCCGAGCTCGGCCTCCGCCGCCTCCCAGGGGGGCTCGGGCTTGGACAGTGGCTTGGCGTGCTGCTGCTGCTGCTGCTGCTGCTGCTGCTGCTGCTGCTGCTGCTGCTGCTGCTGCTGCTGCGCGGGGGTCCCGGGTCCCGGGGAGCCAGGCTGCAAGAGAAAGCGAGCGTGACGAGGGGCGGCCACTGTGGCTGGCAGCCAGTGGTATTACGAGATTCAGTGCACACAGGTTTCAGAAGGATCGTGGTCTTTGAGCTTATTCTCCCTTTTTTACTAAGGTAAGAGGCGTTCTGAGCTTTCACTCTAAAGAAGTGTAACAACCCTAAAACATTCACCAGCTTGCAGTTCCCTAAGTGGAATTTCGATACCCAGCTTCAGCAAAACTTGGTTTGTATAAATGAGCCTTCCCCCTTCTCCAACAATTGTGATGTTTAATGCCTTTTTTTAAAAAAAAAATATACACTCACGTATACAAGACTAAACTATGAATTTATTAAGAAGCGAAAACCAACGAGCTTAACACCATGCCCTGCACCTGGAAGGCCCGTGTCCCTTTCTAAATAAATGAATGTCATTTTACCTTTTGTTTTAAAGCATGGACGGGCTGGTTAAGTAATTCACAGAGTTCCTGAGAAGTATAGAACACAGTGGGCTTCGTGGGTACAGCGTGAGCTGCTGAGGGGTAGTAAATGTGGCTGCCTGGTGAGCCGTCTCATGGTCCCGTGTGAGTACCAATAAAGTAGCACAGCCGAGCACACGGGGCAGAATGCCCACAACTCACAGAGGGACCCTGGATTCTGCACAGCACCGTCTGCAAGCGACCACAGTCAGTCCACATCATTACCTTGTTCACTTTTGAAGGGCTTTTACAAGTGCTCTGAGAAGTATCTGGGGATGGACATTCATGTGTGGTTGTGGGTTCTGGATTTTCAGGATCGGGGTCTGTAACAAGCAGAAGAAATCTACAGTAAATGTAGTGTCACGGTAAATATTGCCTTTTATTGACATAACAGCAGTGCGCATTCTCTCATTTAAAAGGTTTCACAGTCAATAGCCATGACGGGTCACACACTTACTGACCTTCCACGAGTTCACTGAGAGGGCCGAGGCCCTTAGCTTGCAACTGGGGAATGTGATTTGAATGAGATGAAGGTGAGGGCTGAACATGGCTCGGTGAACATGAGACACATGGTGATTCTGCCCCTGGAGGTGAAGCAGAGCAGACCCAAGAGGTTAGGCTCCCGCGCAGAGGCAGAGCTGGCGCCGGCCACCCACGCTGCCAAGTGAACGGCTCACTCACCACTGTCTTTGTCCTTCCTGTGGTCGCTGAGCAGCAAAGCTCTCTGGTAGCTCCTCTCTCTCACTTGTTCCACTGAGGTGGAGGCCGTCCTTTAAAGTAAAACCAGAGCATTCTCATTTCAAAGAAGCTACTGCTACTTAGGCTGGTCCTTGTCCCATGATACTCAATTTGTTCTCTCAGACAGAGGATTCTGCTCTACTGGGAAAATCGGTGTTAAACTTTGACAATAGCTCATCTTGGGCTGGGAGGATAGCTCAACGGACTAAGCTAAGCGCCTTCTCAGGCAAGCGCAGGGACCAGGGTTGGTCTCTGGCACCACAGACTGCACAGGCCCCGCCCCCAGGCGCGCTGAGCTGATGACTGAGTCCGGGTGTGGTGGTGCACGCCCCTCTGTAATCCCAGCGCTGGGAGGCTGAAAACAGGAGGATCACTATGAGTGAGCTGTGTAATGAGACCTTGCACAAAATACAAAAAAAATAAAATAGCTAATCTTGTTTTACTCTGCTAACTGCTCCCAAACTATTTTATTCCCCAGACTTAACTTTCTTCGTGTTGGTCAAATTGTGAGGGAAGGGGCAGCCAAAGACAGTATAGTAACATTACAAAGTCACTTCCAGTTGCCAAGGGGTCCAAAACACCGTATGGCCCAGACTGCCAGAGTGAACAACCCTGGCACCTGCTGAGGCTTACAGGCAGCTGCGTCCTTGCCTGCTGAGGAAACAATAACGCTGGTTCTTTCAGGGTAACTAGAAGGGACAAAATCTATAGGATGTTCATTGTGATCAAAGCTTAAGAGAGGAAAGCTTCAGTGAGCAGTGTAAGTTGTTAAGAAGTGAACGCAATGGACTTCAAACAGCACAAGCAACTTAGCAAAGACCTTTCTAAATGATGGGCACCAGTATCTGCTTAACCTTGAGAACCATGCAAACAGGAGGCACAGGTTACTAACAAGCACGTCTCCCAACAGCTCACCACTGCACTTCTGGTTCGCTCTTGTCACCGGCAGCAGCATCCTTGGCGGGACAGTCGTTGCCAGCCTCTTCAGCAGCGTTGGACGCTGCTGCGGGAGCGGATAGAGGGGGGCCGGCACTGGGTTCCACCTGCTCCCCGCCTCCACTGCCCTGTGTGCAGCCCTCACTGCCCAGGCTCCCGGTGGCGCCCGGCAGCGTGCTGAGGAGCGGGAAGCTGTCACTCTTGGAGCCGCTCTTCCGAGCTTCCCGCTGCCTCTTCCGGTACTCTAGGAGGGAGACCTTGAGAAAGACAGAAGAAAGCCTTTTATTCTTGACTTATAGATCAGAACCATTTTTTTTCTAAAGAGAATTACTAATATTTACATTTAAAAATTACATAAAATAATTCAATTTCCAATAAATAATTAACAATTATCAAATGCCTCCAATATGCCAGGCATTGTACTTAGAGGATTTACATAACATTATCTCATATAATCCTCACAACAACCCTATGCAATAGGTATTATATATATAGATATATTATCATCCCCATTTACAGAGGAGGAAATTGAGTAACTCACTCACTCAAGGTCACACAGCTGGTGAGTGTTGGAGCCGGGATTCGAACCTAGGTCTTACTTGAAAGCCCGTGCTCTTTCCACTATACTACATTGCTTCCCACATAGTTGCCAACTGGACTCTGTTATAAAAATTAAAAGCACACATCACTACAATTCTTTGACTTATAAAGCAATCAGCCTATTAACAAATAAGTAAGTGCTGCCTCCGCTCCTCCCTCTGCAGTAAGGCACCTTAATTACTGTCTCTGCGGGGACTCCTGCTCGCCCTGCGCTCCGCTTTGCCCCACGTGTTCTGCTGCCCGCCAAGAGCTAAGGAGACCTGCACGGGATACTGAGGGACACTTGTCCTCCACAAGGCAGCCTTTTCAGTTAACTTTGGGATAGAAGACTGTAATTGCCTCATTTTTTTGGTTAGGAGGTGATTATTTTTAAAAGTTTTTCATCTGGCCAAATAAATCATCTTGAGGTTTCTATCTCTGAAACCATATGCCCTACAAGGTCTTTCTGTATTACTAGAATGTTTTGCTTCTCTGTATTTTTAAATTAAATACAAGAGGCTTTAAAAATGTACACATAAAAACTTTATCCTGAATTAATGCCTTTACACAATACATTTTCTAACTATGAATTAACCCTCAAACCAAGTATAAAGAAAAAAAAAAAAAAAACAACTATGAATTGCTAAATTTGTAACCTTTTTCTTCTGTGGTGGATTCTGAGGTGTGCAGTTCCCATCGATCAAATTGTCGTGCGCGGTCCGTCCAAAGCCAGAGCCGAGCCCGTCTTCAGAGGAACAGAACACAGCTGTGTCCATGAATGCGGCTCTCGCGTCCTCCTGCGTCAGGCACTTGGGCTCACTTACTCGGAAGCCGCCACCGACCTCCAGCTGGTGCGAGGGCGTCAGGTCCCTGAGGTTGGAATTCAGGGAGAAGCTCACGCCGCTCCGGTCGGGACTCTTCACCCAGGACGAGTACAGTGCGCCCCGTCCTGGCTGGGTGGAGTCCAGGGGGCCGGAGGGCTCGGGCCTGTCGAGAACAGGCGCCTCCATGGTTTTCAGCAAGGCGGCAGCTGGCTCGCCTGAGTCCAGCCCCAGGTGGAGATCCGACGCGGGCTCCTTCTCGCCGAGGCCCGGCCGCACGGCCTCGGCCCTGCCCCGCGGGCTGGCGTAACCAACAGTCTTTATTTCTTGCAGGCCCAGCTCTGTTAAGCTGGAATTTCTGAAAGGCCCCAATGTTAACAGGGTTGAAGATCTGTCATATCCCTGTTTACAGAATTGAAGACACACATACACACACACAATGACATCTTGAGACTGTTGACTTTTAAAATCTAAGCAAAATACTGATACTGGGGGAAAATCAGCAGTTTAATTTTTTTAAATCAGCTCCTTACCTCTTGACTGTAAGTGCGTCTCTTTATTTCTGGAGAACTTTCTGGGGAAGAAATATTCTACATAAAAGGAATAATCAAAATGCAAAATTAAAATATGTAATAAAAATCTATGAAATTTTTTGAAATGAACTTGAAAAACTACCATACACATTTTGGTTTTAGGCTGTTTCCTATTTTCTTTCTAGTCCCCAAATAAGATTATGTTTCCCCCACACCAAACAGATAAAATCCTGATGTTCTAATGATGTTTGAGGGGGAAACACATCTCACACAATGGCATGAACACCCAACCATCAGGCTCCTGAACCAAGATGCCACATAAGACACATGCTTAGAGGTCCATTTGTACACACATGGTCATTACTACAAATAAAAATGTTTTTTAAAAAATGTCTATATTCACATAAGTGTACGCATCCAGTTTCCATTTCATTTCTTAGTACACTCATTCCCCATCTATATGGACTGAAAAGATCTTTCTCATTCAAATTTCTCACCTCAAAGTGCATGGTGTTTCCTGGTGTGCCTGGGGTTACGGGGGTGACTGGTGAATATATGGGTTTGTAACCGTTTCTACAGGTTTCATCGTCTGACTTTACCCGTGGAGGAGTGGCAAATGATGGGTCCGTAGGAGTAATGTCTGCATGGGTTGGTGTGGCATACGGTGAAGGAGTAGGTGTGGAGGTTTCTGAGTAAACAGAATCTAGCAATTGATACAGTCTTCTTTTTTTTAGTGGTGTTGTTAAATCTGTTGGCAAAATAATAATCTATAAGAAATTATACTGTTGGTATTTGCTATAATCTGTAACATTGTGGAAATGTGATGTTCTGAAAGATAATACTATATAGTAACTACGATTACTTTCACCCCAAAACTACATTTTTAAATTTTTTAACTATAGTTTTTTAAAGTAGAATTAACATGAAACATTTCCCCATCAATCTTTTATTAGCAAGGACTACCTTGCCTGAAGAGCTCCCTAAAGGTTTTGAGGACATCTTACAAGTGACTATAACAACTGCAAATGCTTTATCTAAGAGACCTGCTGAATCTGAAAACAGTCACCCCAAAGCCAAAACTAGACCTTAAAAATTCAGCCATAAGCACTTGCCTGGCAAGCGCAAGTTCCCGAGTTCAATCCCCAGTACTGAAGAGAAAAAAAAAAAAATCATAATCCCCAAAGTATACTGAATCACAAATTAAGGGTTTCATGTCTTGTCTTGGAGACAGGGTGTGGAGAACAGAAATGACAAAATGCATCTAACAGTGTGCTCTGTGAAGTTGACAGCATAAAGTCGACTCTGCTGTTACAGAACTGTGTCCTGCCACACTGCTCGCGCTAGAAGAGCACTGAACAGAAATCCTACCTGGAAGGGAACAGCCATCATTTAATAGTAGTGGGCTTTTATTTTCACCATTGATTATAGGACTTCTGGATCTTTCTTGACAGGGTGAGTTGAATCTATGCAAAATTGCTGAATTTTCTTCTTCCAGAGCCTGTTTCAACCATCGCTGAATAAGACAGAAAAGTAAATTAATAGTAATGCTACTCGTTATCTTAAATGTAGAGCTGATTTCAAAAGCATTATTTTACAAGTAATAGCAAGGAATGATACTGCCGTTCGGTTCATCCCAGATTCTTAACATCTGAAGAAATATTCACCTTTTTACATGAGCCAGAAGCGTTGTCAGTAGGTTCTTTCCTTCTCCTTTTTTCTGAGAGGAAGGGCGAAGTAAACCTAATGTAATGCTTGGGAGTGGAGTATACGTGGGGGCTGTACGTGAGGCCCGGTAGGGAGTTGAGCTGTGTGGCTAACACTTCAGGATCTGTAGTTATGCGCAGAGGCCTTTCCGAAAGGCTGTCTGAAGGTTTCCCTGTCTTCTCATTCTTTTCACTTAACCATTCACTGACCAGGTGCTAGAGAAAAGAAGACTGCGTCACTGTGCGGATCACTGCATGCGTTCTCTCACAGAACATCCTCATAACAAAAGTTATAAATGTCACAGACACTAAATTTAGGTTTGTTGCTGTTTTATACGTATAAATTGAACTAGAAAATCTGATTTTAGCAGTGCTTTTGGATCCAAAGTGCCTCTCAAAATCTGAGAGATGAGTCGATACAAATCCTGTACATGAACAAAACACAAAACTCAGCACTGACAATTCCTGATTGAAGAGGTTTAAAATACTCAAAAGCTATGGTTTAAAAATTTAGTTTTTTTAATTTTAATTCCTTGGTCTACAACATGCATAATTCAATCTTTAATCCAATTTGATATGTGATCATAAAGGATAATGATTACTTAATTATAAAGAACTAATTTTAAAAAAAGGTTTTCCGGGGCCGGGGAGATGGCTCAGTGGAATAAGTGCTTCCCTGGCAAGCGCAAGGGCCTGAGTTCAGTCCCCGGTTCTAACAAAAAAAAAAAAAAAAAGTTTTCCCTTTGCCTTGCAATTCATATGCTTAGTAATGAAATAAGATCCTTTTAATTTCATGGGAAATGTAAATTGTAGAAAAAGTGTATGTGTATTTGTCTATTCTCAGACACACACACACACACACACACACACACACACACACGATGTAGAGAAACAGGCACATTAACAAAGTAAAATACTTCATCTATCCTGTTTTCTGATAACCAGATTAAACATTTTATAGAATCTTTCCTGATGGGCATGTGCACTGAAGGATAAGCAATATGTGGGGGTCAAGCACATGGAATCTGCAACCACAGATGGAGTAGATCCTGCTTTGCCACTTACACGCTGAACATGAGGACATTACATAACTTTTCTGCATCTCAATTTTACCTGTAAAGGGATTATAATGGAACCTAGCTCTCCAAGTAATGTTATGACAGTGAAAAACAGGGCTGGATGAAGCTCAGCGTTAAGAGCATTTGCCCAGCATGAGCCCTATGTAAAGTTAAACCCTAAACACAGCCCTTAGAAGAGTCTCTGACCCAGAATAAGTGCTATGGTTAGAGAGAATCCCAATAAGCTGGCCTACTCTAAATATTGAGAAATATAATGTTGTTTAAAATAATGCCATAATCCCAGGTTCCACCAAAATAAAAGTAACAATATAATGCCATAAGCAAAACCTGCAGGAAAAGAAGATAGGATATAAGAGCCTACATGTCCTGCTTGCGGGGAGGGTATCTAGGCATAATGGAATCATCTCATCATTTAATAATTACATGCAGATTTATGTCATATTTATAACTGAGAAAGCAGTTTCATGCCTTTAAACATGAGTTTTTTCTTATCACAAAAGGTGAAATTGTTGTCTCTTCAAGTTGAGCCAAAACAGCATTGAAGGCAAGCACTGGCCTGTTTAACATACACAGAGGGCGGTGAAGACAGCTACAGTGGACTAAAGCGCATGCTTAGGCAAGCTTAGGCAAGCACAGGGACTGCACTCGATCCCTGGCACCACATGCTGCACTAGCCCTGCCCTGCGGGCAGGCTGACATGGCCAAAAAAAATACATGGGGAGTGGGGCAGGCAGTACTAGTTATAAATTAGACACAACTGGTTAGGTCTCAACTCGTGGCTCTCGGGCAAATAAGTTATTTAATTTCTACCATTAAAATATATATTCTGCATTGTTTTAGTGATCTGCTTATAAACTACTGAATTAGGTAAGAACAAACAAAATAAATGTAGTTTCAAAGTACTTTGAAATAAATGATAGGGAAGGATCTCTTTATGACCCTTGGGAGCCTTAGGGTACCGGTACCTCTGGTCTCATCAGTACTCTGTGTTAGAGGAAGAAAAAGCAGTAGCTTCGTATAGGGTATCCTGCTATCTCTGAGCTGAAAAGCCCAAATTGTAAACTCCTTCCCAAAAAATGCTTCATTAAATCTGACAGGTTTCCAAGGATTTTTATTATTAATCCGATCAAAAATGTCTCCGTTGAAATACATTTTTTAGTACATTCTACTGAAATCAGCAATTTCTTCACATTTGGTTCTTATCTACAAGGTGGGAATTATAAAAAACACAATGATAAAAGAGAAATGCCTGCAGGAGCACTTGCCTAGATGCCCCTGGGCCTGTGTCCAGCTCTGAGCACCACCAAAAGGAAGACGAGTGGCAGCACACAGGAGAACAGTTTGGAGGAGTGTGGCATGGTGTTGTACACAAAATGGGGACACTTAAATCTAGGCTGCGCACGCACATAGCTCAGCAGGCACAGTGCCTGCCTGGCAAACACAAAGTCCTGAGCTCAATTCCTAGTACCAAAAAAAAAAAAAATGCAATTAAAGAAATGATGAACTACAGCATAAAGTCTTAATATATTTATCATCACCATAATGCAACTTTACAGTTCTGGGATTTTTTTTTTTTTAAATAAACCCTGCAATTATAAAAATGATGCCCCATTTAGCTTGTTAAAAAATGTGATAAACTGAATTTTTAAAATTAACTGATATAAGACACTTGTTGAAAAAACAGTTCTTCCATTCCTTAAGAATCATACCTTCTTTGTTTTGGGGTACTTCGTAGGACATTTATTAAGTGCTGGAACTTCAGTTTCAGTGATTATTTCTGCTACTGCGGTTTCAGTCTCTGGTTCTATTACCAGCACAGTATTTTCAACATCATTTTGTTGTGATGTGACCTCAATGTCGGGAGAAGACGGCTGGATATCGGAGCACATGCTGACCGTTCTGTGTCTCCGGCGCTGCTGTCCAATGTGAGTCCTACTACGAGAAAAGCTTTTTCTCTGTTTGGTTCTATTGACTTTGGCAGGGGTTGGCTTGTTAGCAGTTTCTTCTTTTGCTTGTTCCTAATTTAAAGGACAACATAATGGAACTTTCAATTATGTTTATGGGTTGAAATTCAATAGCATTAACCTACTTCAAAAGCTTTCCAAATGTACGGGTTCTGATAAATTAGCATAATGAAACATTTTCCCTCTTGCCACAAAAATCCCAGTGTGGTTCCATGATTTAAATCTAAATCTCCCATTGGGTTTGCAAATGCTATGGAAGTCTAGTACCAGCCATAATTTAAAGTTTTTATAGATGTAACTAAATTGTGTATAAAAGTTTTATGTGAAGGTGTTCAAGAAAATGAAAATAGACCTGAATAGGATTACCTGATTGACCTCAGCATCGCTGGCAATCGGTGCATCTTTACACTCAGCTTTGATTTCCGTCTTGGCTGTGCTGATCCTTTCTAACGCTTGTTCTCTTCTCTTCTCTCTTTTTTCAAGTCTGGCAAAAGCTTGCAAAATTGCTTCCATTTTCCTTTCTTCTCTTGTCTACAAAAGTTAAGTTTTAAGTGGCATATCATTGTTTTGAAGTAAAAATTCAAATTTGAAAAAGTACTACTACGATATTATTAACAATGTCTGTTGCTGGTAAAAGAAAGAAAAAAGGAGCGGGGTGCATTGGTATTCAAGATCTGTAAGCGTCCCAAACATTTCTGTACAGCCTGGTATTACAAATCTATTTCATGAAAGGAAAGCTTGGCTGATTGTTAATGACTTTTTTAAAAGGCCTCAGTATCTACCTTGTTTTACCAAAATCAACAATGTCTTAATACATAAGCCAATCCTTTACTAAAAATTAAGAATTCCTAAGGTAATGTTCAGAGGAGGCAATAGATTATTGGTATATTACATCGGGATGGTTGTGGGGGGTGAAATCTTGGGTTCAAGTCATGACTTTACCAGGATCTCTGTGACCCTAAGCAGGTTAACCTTTCTGAGATGCTAAGCTAGGGTAGTAATATTTACACATCACTAGATTGTTATTAAGTTCAAACAATGTCTGAGCTTTTTAGACAATACTTGGGAAAATGACGTCCCACAAGCTGACTATTCCTTCTTCTCTAGCCCTCATGGCCCCTCATCGTTAAGGCAAGCCTCTGTCCTCTCTCCTCTTCTCACACTAACACTTCAGAACAGCCCTTAGGGAACAGCAAGGGTCCCCTCCAGCACCAAGAGCAAGACTGAGAGCCTCAGCCAGATGCAGCTGCCCGGTGAATGCTTACACTAACAGAGCAGCAAGTGCAGCCACCCTGCCTGGTTCACAAGTGAAAAGAACTGGGGAGGGTCAGACCAACTTGTCTTTCCTCCTTTGTCATCTCCATGGGGAAACTATCAGAAACTGCAGGTCTGGCTGCCATGCATGGTCCTGTCAATATCCCTCTTCTCCAGCCATCAGCAGCTGAGGTTCAAGCACTAGGACGCCTACACTTTGAAACGAGTGGTTGCTTATGCTTGCCTGTACTTTTGTCACACTCAATAAAGGAATAAAGTAGGATATCAGAGCATCTAATTTATTATAGCAAACTGCCATCCTGCCAGTGTGACACAAAGCGTGTTATTCTCACCATTATTTTACAGACAAGGAAACAGGTCCAGCGAGGTCAGATTACTTGTTTATGAGTCTACTTCTGCAGTCCCTCTCCTAGTGTAGGAAGGGTCGTCAGACACTTTAAACACAGCACAGCCAAAAGATGCTCTTTCAAGGCACTGGCACTGGACACTTTAAAGCTGAATTCTTAGACATTTCTTGGCCCTGGGCTTCGAAATCACTGACCTGACCCTTGTTTATCATGCAGCTTTTTGTAAACACTATGACTGGGTATTGGGGCTTTTCTAACACTAAATTTAGAAATCCCAAGTATAACAAATAGTTCACCTTCACAACTGCTTCACCTGTGGAATAAAGTTGAAGTGGATAATTACTGTGGCTACCTCAAAAATATTTTAAAATCATGGGAAAATTATATTTTCCCAGGGGGAAAAAACTTGCCTTACAATGAATTGTGTAAAAAAAAGATTACCCTGGATTTTCTAAAACACTTAGGAATTTATGCCAGGAGAAGATTTTCTGACAACTTTCCTTGTTCTGCATGGGAGAATAAAGCTCAGATAAGTTATAGAAAGACCCAAACTCATTTAAATAAAAATAGGACTCCCCTATAAATAGTACAATGGCCAGTTAACACAAAATTCATCATTTAGAGATAGTTCTCGATTTTTAGAGTTGGTCAGGATTTTAAAAAGAAAAGTCCCATGCTGTAACCTAAGTCCCTATATCAGAAGTGACTGTCAGAGGTAGAGCCTCAGGTAATACATACGGCCCAAGTGACTCCCCAGGGCCACCGCTTTCCAGGTCACAAGCACACACCTGCCAGCCTACGGAAGCACAGTGGAGGGCAAGTCTTCGTGAGTCACAACAGCTCTAATTGAGCAGGAATAAAGTTGAGGGCACCAAACAGATTTCCTGGTAGCTTTATCCCAGCCTGGAAATACTAAAGTGCCTAGTTTTGGGTTTGGTGGTAGCGGTGTTTTTGAGCTAGGATCTTACGATGGTTCAGGCTCACTGTGTAGCTGAGGCTGGCCTCAAACTCGTGGTGATCCTCCCAGCTCAACCTCCCAATTGCCAGTGTCCACCACCATGTGCAGCCATACCCTGGTTTTCTACATGGGTAACAATCATTTGCACACTTAACCAACTTTCAAATTCCTTAGGGTTCATATAATTCAACTTTCATGTTCATCATACATACATGTAGCCTAACATTTCACATATTACTAAATAAAAGTATTTAAGGACCAAGGTAACTGCAGACTACTTGATGCAGTTTAGAGCATCCATAGGACTACGATGCGACTTCTGTACTCACTGTTGGCTCAGTATCAACTGGGAAGGTGACAGACCCAGATATGGAGATGGATACCTGTGCAGCTTCTTATACACTGTCCATGCAGGAGTGTTGATGTTACACTAAACTATATGGGTCTCCTTTATGACTCACTGTGCATTATTACAATGTCCTTTTTCAGTTATGATTTCCTAACAGTAAATACAGAGTACTACAACTTCCTATAAGCTGAGAACAAGAGGCTAAGATGCTTCCTAATACCATTTGCTGCGGTATGGATATTTTGAGAATCTTTATTCCAGCTGTGTACTTCAAAGAATAAAGATATGGTAGTAAAAACTTATATTTTCAACTTTCAGAACAGACACAAATATTATTGTCTTAAGTTCCAAAAGACGGGGAAACCAGCATGATGCAGCTCAAGGTTACATAACAAAGAATATGAATTAGTATGTTATATAACATAGCAACTGAAAAAAATATACTTTGCCAAGTAGACATTGTAATTTAGCTCCAAAAATGTGGCTGAAAATTTAATGTGCTAAAAATAAAGCTTTTGAATGTGTGGATGCTGTCAGGGAGCTTTACAGGGAAATTTGAGGTGGCATAGAAGAGGAAAAAAGGTATCTGGGGTCCTGGAACTGCTCTTCCATGCACCGTCAAGTAGGAAACAGGCGCTGAGCACGGAGGCTGCACCCTCTGAGGCTCAGCAGGCTGAGCCAGGGCACAGGCCTTGCCTCAGCCAGCAGCAGCAGCAGTCTCCCCTCACCTGCAGTTTTGCCTTCCTCATCTTAAGTGTCTGTAGTCTGAAAATATGAATACCAGAAATCAAAATCATAAAGAAAATAAGTTATTCTACTCTATGATCTTGCAGTACAGATATTAACAGGTCTCCTTAAGCTTCTCTTACCCTTTCCAACAGCAGTAACAGACTGATAGTGAATCTTGAGGATTACAAAATGCCCCGTTACTAATGCGAGCTGTGGAAAGCTGCACGCGTCGCGAGTGGGACCTGTGTCCGTCGCCCGCATGGCACTGTCGCCACACTGGCACACCCAGCCTGCCTTGCCTGCACTCCCACCCAGCACTCTGGTGACTGTGCAGACAGTGCTCCAGTTGAGTGAGAACCGTGGTGTGTTACATAAGCTGGGAGTCACTGCTATGTGAAGACAGAACTGGAGGCGCTGAAGGAGGGGTTGGGACATCTTAAATCTACTGCACAGAAGTTAAAGCAGAATAACCTCATTTGCACAGAATGCCTATAAAAATAAACTGGTTCCCGTTTACCATGTTAGGAATTACTGATCTTTACAATCCTAATCAATGATCAGCATGAACTGGAGGATACAAAACGGAGAACGCAGGGTTCAGTGATTCCACCGCAGTCCTGTCCTGATGGCTTCTGGCCATAAATGTACCCTCTTTCATACTTTACTACTACTAAAACTACAGTCCTAGGCTCGGGAGATAGCTCAGTAGAATAAGTGCTTGCCTAGCAAGCCCAGGATCCTGAGTTCAATCCCCGGTACCGCAAGAAAAAAACAAAACAAAACAAAAAAAACTCCAGTCGTGCATGGATCACTCCTGTAATCCCAGCCCTCCAGGAAGCTGAGGCAAGAATAGCATAAATTCAAGCCCAGCTGGTACAACTTAGTGAGACCCACGTCTGTGATGATTAACTGTCAACTTGAGTAGGGACAACCAGCAGAACTCAGTCAGCATAGCTCTGGGCATGGGAGAGCCACTTTAAGGATGATAAAAAGAACAGGAGGGAAGCAGTTCAGCTGATTTTCCTTGGAAGAGCTTCACTGTTTGATTTTCCTCACAAGAGCTCTGGCTGAGCTCCTTGGAGGAACTGGTCTTCGCCTTGGCCTTGGGCTGTGTCTCCTGGCTTTCAGCTTCTCATGGCCTTTTAGCTTCTAGCACAGACCCTGCGGCCTCCTGGTATGGGCCCCTCAGTCTTCCCTGCAAATCCTTCTGCCTCCTGAGGCAGATGCATGCAGATGGGACACTACTGTGGGCACCAGGCCATGGGCTGGATCATTCGGATCTTCAGCGCGCAGACAGATCTTTTGCACTTTTCTCCATCTGACTCTATGGGCAGCCACAGTAGGCCAAACTTGTAAAGGTCTGCGTCCTGCATTAAGTCTCATTAAACAGCATGTGAATCAGGAGCTTTGGCCCAGCCCACAAGCTCTGAGGGGCTGAGTCTGCAGCTTTTGTGAAGGCCTTTGGGTTCACCCACAGCACCGGTGGTAGGGGCACTCTGCATCTTTGACAGTGAATTCTAAAACAAGTCACTTCTTAAAGACACAAAATAGCAGCATAGATTCTGAATAATCATGTTTTCCTGGGATGTGTCAGCCACTAGATAGAAAACCCACACACTGTCAAAGGTGTACAAGTCTCAGAAATGCTAATTTCCTAAACAACAGGAAATCTCAAAGAGTTAATTTGCGCAAATGGTGTAGTGGTTGGCCAACCAACTTGAGTGGCTTTAGCAGGGCCTTGGAGTCTCCATCTGGGACTCTTCTCACTCTGCTTCCAGGGGCCAGGCCCTTCTGCATGCTGCCCCTGCTCAGGGCCAGTAGATCTGGGACTGGCACTGTGAGCAGTGAAGCCTCCTCTAAACTCCGGGGCTGGGTGTCCAGTCTGAACAATGGGAAGCTAATACACAGAAGTCTCATAGGCTGAGAACTGAATATAGTGTTTACCAGACTCAACTTTCCAAAGAGTGTGTTTTTGGATAACGTGTCCGTTTAGATTTCTAAGCAACTCTTGGTGTGAAGGACAATAACTGAGACTTGTGAAAAATTCTGACTAGTCTTGGGCAAGACTTCCTGGACTATAAGGAAACTTCATGTACCTAACTTTACCTCAGTGGTAAAGTATCCCTTATTTATACTACAAAAGATAGACTGAAATACATTTTAATTTGGAGATTATGGGGAGTTTATATGGGAAGGAGGTATTCCTGACTCCTTATGCAAATCTGGAAAACATACATGATTGCCTATATCACTATAACCCTTAACAGTTTAGAAGTCTGCTTGTCACAGGAGAAAAATTAGTTTGACAACTTTCCCCAAAGCAAATTATGCCAGGTGTGAGGGTCTACACCTGTAATCCCAGTACTCAGGAGGCTGAGGCAGGTGAGATTGCTGTGAATTCAAGGCCAAACTGAACTATAGTTAGACCCTGTCTCAAAGACAACATAAAATAATGGCAAAAATTCGAAACATAAAAGGTTCATTTTATAAAACAAATACTAATATCTGAGAGAAAAAAAAAGACTCATGGCTTAGGAATCCCAATATGTGTGCTTCTGCATTCAGCTTAATTACCTCTAAAAATTCTATAAACACCAAAGCAAATACATCAATCAGAACAGAGTGCAGTGACTTTAAGGGCTCTGGAGCAAGGAGCCAAAGAAACATTTAAAAGTCTTCTTTCCTATCCTTTCAAAATACAAAATTATAAAATTTACATTTAAGGGCAGGCCAAATAGCTCAGCAGATTAAGCACCTGGGGCCAGGGGTTCCATTCCCAGGCCTGCCCTGTCAGCCCCACCCCCTGGGGCATGCTGAGAGGGCAATTGAGACTGGGGGTCTATAATCCCAGTGCGTGCCTGTAATCCCAGCTCTTGGGAGGCTGTAAACAGGCAGGTCACTACAAGTACAATCTAGTAGTGAGACCCTGAACACCCTGCAGACCCTTCCCTAAAATACAAAAAAGAAATTCACATTTAAAATTATCTACTTTTTATTATCATGAATGAAATTCCCAGTTTCACAGCCATGTTAGTAGTAGATACTAGGATAAATATGCTAAATGAGTATAAAAACATTTAAGTATTCTGTATTAACACAATCAGGGCCAAGTGTGGATCCCAGTAAGCATAGAAAAATACATTTTTCCCCTCCAAGTTTAACACCAGTAAAATGGCATCCAGTTTTCTTCCACCAGAAGATAAGGATTTTCTAGGTGCCACTCTCTGTCTCAGGGTGATAGATTGATAATTTAAAAGTAGCTACATAGCCATAAGAATTTTTAATAGAACACAATTTTAATGAAACTACCGCATGAACACAGAACAAGTCTTCTTAAAATTGTCATTGATTTTAAAGTGATTGCTATAGTTCATACAGCTAACTGTGAAGGAGAAGATCCTGTAGCACACAGCAACTCTATTGGTCATTCAGAAGTTCCTACACAGGAAATGCAATGTAACACTCTTAGGGAAGGTGCCAGGTAATAGTAAAAAACAATTAGGGCAGCAGATAATTTGCCTGTAATTGAATCTTGAAAAAAAATTAGTATTCCTTTGGATATAGGAACTCTTTCATATTTGTCAACCTCCAAATTCTCCAATTTTCAGCAGCATTTGCTTTTCTTCTTTTCCATCTCTAACTGCCCTATCTCAACAGAGCAGTAGTGGCCCCCGCGCTCTGACAGAGCTGTGGACACCACGTGATATTGGCAGGACGACCTCACAGTACAAAACACTCATGCTGAGAAGCCCACCCAGAACCAACTGGAAAGATGCCACGTGGCCATCCGTGCAGTGCGGCACGGAGACCTCTAGGACAGGAGGCTAAGGACTGTGTCAGCTAACGACAATGAGGACCTACCTGTCATAGGCTGTCAGTTAGTTTGTAAGATCACCTTCACATCAACAAAGTAGAGGCCCTTTTAACTGGCCTTGTTTTTTGAGGAAATTTCTCATTCCATTTTTACACTGACAAGTAATATGAGAGCTATAAATTTTAATTTTTTTTTTGAGACATGGCCTCACTATGTACAATGTCGCAGTGACACTCCTGCCTCAGCTTCGCAAACACTAGGATTCAGGTGTGTGCTACCATGACCTGCTTAAACTTAATGAGAAATCTTATGTTTTATGAAAACAGTGTAAGAATACAGAAATAGTAGCTATCAACCAGTAGTATTCTTTGTTTTGGCTTTATATAAGCTACTTATTTGGTGCTATAATAAGGCTTAACGTTGTTTTCATTTTACTCAAATCTTGAAGAAAAAAGGGCACATTCAGCTAATGAGAGACATTATGAACAGTAATTGTGGTGGTATTAACATTTATTAACAGTTTCCAACTTCAAAAATGTCAATAAAATTACTTCTAAAATGTCATACATTCTGAAATGTCTAGTGAATACCAGTAAAATACAAAAGATCAGTGGAATTTACTTAAATGGTCATGATAAAGCCAAATAAAAATACTCCATGGCACGCTGGCTGCCCTCAGTCCAGCTGAGCATAAAGCAACTACTGGCCTCCCCACTTACCATCTTCCTTTTTCTTTCTGCAATCTGCTCCTCTGATTCCATTTCTACTTCATTGCTAATAGGAGTTTTTTCTTCTATGTCATCAATAAAATCTGGTTCCTGAAAAACAGAAATGTCTTCTTTATGGAAACTACTACACTGTTATAAACTAGGCACATCAAACTGTTTTAAAAGTCTGCAGGATGCAACCAGCGGGGCTTGACAGCATATGCCTCAATCTCAACACCCGGAGGCTGAGGTGGAAGGGTGGCAAGTTTAAGACCTGACAGAGCAAATTAGTGACTTTCCAAGACACTGCCTCAGAGTAAACACAAGGGTAGCATGTAGCTCAGTGTAAAGGCCATGGGTGCAATCCAGCAAAAGCAAACAAGCAAAAAACCACCACGATGAAAACCACTAATTCAACATAGACACTACAAACCTATTTAGGATGGGTTTAATTCAAGAAACTGTTCAAAATCATGTAATCAAATAATTTTGCTTTCTAAAACTCTAAAATTTAAATAGTTAATAAAATTCTTATCAATAGCCATTATGTCAAATATAATACTATGGCCTTTATTTGTACTTTTTCTGAAAGTTTTTTTTATAAAACCTGCAAATATGAAGTACTCAATAAATGTTTTCAATTTAAAACTTATGGGAAACCATTCCAAGATAAGGCATTTATATCATGAGCAAAAACTACCTTCTCAAAAAAACTCTGAGGAAGGGTCTTACAAAATTGCCCAGGTAGCTTTGAACCTGAAATCCTCCCATGTCAGCCTCTTCAGTAGATGGGATTATACATCTGGTTCCCTTAATTTTTTTTTCTTTCATTCCATGTTAGGCATGAAACCTCAGAAGTTCCTGCGTGCCAGCAAGCACGCAACCACTGAGCTATATCTCCAGCTCTCAAACTACCTAGCCCCCAAATTATCTCATATGTTAGTAAGGTTTTTTTTAAAAGTGCTATTTGCTATTGGTTATAGCACCCTTATAGCCCTGGTAAGTTTATTTTTGTCCAAGTATTTCAGTAAAGGAAATCTCATAACTTCAGATATTAAATAAAAGTTTCATAGCTGGACAAAGTTGTACACATCTATATATCCTAGCACTGTGGGAGGCTAAGGCAAGAAAATCACGGTTTCATGACCAACCTGAATAACTTAATGATGCCCTATTTCAAAATTTACAAAGAACTGGGGATGTAACCTAATATGAAGGTCCTAGGTTCAATCTCCACTACTGAATTCATGCTTAAATAAATACACCAAAAAATAAATAAACAAACCACTTATAAATAGAAGGAAAGTACTATCCAAAATTCTTTGTAATTACCAAAGCTTAGGAAAATCTCATCTTCAATTCTGCAAGGCTTTCTTATTTAATACAACAAATGTACTTACTACAGCAAAATTTGTTTATACCCAGAAGTACTTCATAAAATAAGAAAAGGGACTTTAAAAAATTGTGAAAGTTTTCCATGAAATAAAAAGGTAAAATATGACAAATTATTTTCTTTTAATTCAGTTTCATTCAGAATCAGCAGAGTTCAATACCTGATTATTTGATACTGATAATCTCAGTGGAGAAAGCTTTCTTTGTTTTGTTTCTGAGCTCTTTATTTTGTTGGTTGTTCCTTCAGAATCCAAAGTCATATTCTGATTTTGTGTATCTTTTTCCTTTGAAATATCTTTGTCTTTTCTTCCCTTTTTCCTTCTAGTCTCATAACCACTATTGATGTTTTCCGTGGATTCAGAACTACGTTTCAGAACAGGACACTCTGGATTTTCCTTGAGGCATGCACAATCCACCTTGTACTTACTGGAATGATAATCAGATAAATATTTCTTCAAAATACAAAACAAAATGGAAATTTCTAATCCATTTTAAGCTGCAACTCTATAAAATCATATGCAGTTAGTGATTATAAGTAATCCTCAACTTTTTAGGCATTTCTGGTAACTATAACAAAAGAAATGTATTTTCTCATAAAAATAGTAGTATAAGTAGATGTTGGTTTGGGGGCCACAGACTGAATCTTGGCATAGCTAACAATGTTAGTTACTGAAAGGTGTTGGGGAGTCAAAACTTTAACTCTTAAAGTAAATTGATAGGGCAGCTTACACGAAGTAAGTATACATTAAGGCATAAACCATCATTATTTCTGGGGTCATAGAGTATTATATAATTGACCTCAAATTTGACTTAAATCTGTATTATACTTTAAGAAATGATTTACTAACCACGTTTTTTTTTTGTTTTGTTTATTTACTTATTCATTTTTTTGGCAGAACCAGGGATTGAACTCAGGCCCTTGCGCTTGCCAGGGAAGCACTAATTCCACTGAGCCATCTCCCTGGCCCCAACCACGTTTTTTTTTTTTTTTTTAAGAGATATCCTTAAAAGGTGTTTCCTCTTGTCTCTAAATATTTTCTTTCTCTCTCAAATGAAGCTTGAAAAATAATCAGCGCTTATCTTCACAGTACTAATTACACTATTCCCATGTTATATGGAGACTAAAGTGTGTTACGATGAAGAAGTTTTTACCAAGTATAGTGGCGCACGCTGGTAATCCCAGTGCTCAGGAGGCTGAGGCAGGAGTTTGAGTTCGAGGCCAAACTGGGCTACAGAGTGAGTTGGAGGCCAGCCTGAACTACGTAGCAAGACCCTGTCTCAACCAGAAATAAAACAGTTTTTATATTCCGAACTAAGCCTTGTTTCATGCCAGTGTTTCAGAAAAATAGTTTTCATTGTTCTTTCCAGGGATCTCTAACTCATTCTTTCTAAGTTATACATTGCAAAGAAAATGTGGTATAATTTATTTTATTTTGAGGGGAAAAGAAAAATCATTTATATCAATTACCCAAGAAAACTAATATTCTGTCACCTAAAATACAAGAGTGAAGAAAAAATCTCACACCACAAAGTCAGTGTTGTATGGCTAGATAAGGACTACTACTCATACAGTGTGAAGATTACATTACAGTAAGTGAAAGCCTAAAATATAAGCAAAAATGACATAAGGGAAGCAAATAACAAAAGTACTTGTTTTCAAGTACTTTTTTTTAAAGACAGGGTCTCGCTATGCATTTCGGGGTGGCCTTGTTCACTTTGCAGCCCAGGCTAGCCTTGAAGTCTCAGTGATACTCCTGCCTCAGTCTCCTATGTGCTGGGATTACAGGTATGCATCACTACATCTGGCTTGTCAAAGACTTTCAACTGCTTCCTCATACTTAAAAGCTATTAAAAAGCAATGAAAATTATCTAAATTCATATAAGGACATTAAGAAATTACTCTGAAACAACTGATTCATTTATAGAATTGAACTTACCAGTTTCCATAGTCAAAATCAAAGGCAATAGTAATTTCAGTACCCTTTGGAATACTCTGGATAGAATAAATATAAAGATGTATGGTTCCTTCTTCAATTTCGTGCCTCACCTGTTAAAAAATATATATTTCTATACATTACTTTTTAGAAGTATCTTTTTGTGCAACTTGGCTAAGTACTATATAGCTTTAAAAATAAGTCACAAACACAACTTGAAAAATTACTATTAATCATAAGACCTCTAAAACCAGTGCTTGTCAATTGGGAAAGTTGTTCAAATGCCCTGTATGTTGCTGCCCCCTGCTAGCCCCCAACAGCCCATGTGGCATCCAAAAAATAAACACTGTATTCATAGTTCATCAGTTCTAAGAAGTATATTTTTTTCACCTTTTGGCTTCTATGAAATTGGGAGTCTTATAAAGGCTGGCAGCTTGGGTCTGATGGAATACAGTAGTGACACAGCCAACAGTACTTGTCTATGATAATTTCAGATACTTTACATGATACTCTTTTAAGTTCTCAACACTACCTTTTATAGATACAGATGAGGCATGGTTAGCGTTACAAAACAAGTGACAAAGAAGACATGGATGTACTATGTGGCTCCAAACATTATAGTATCAGCTGTAATAATACATAATTCTAGAATTAAAAATGTTTATTTTGGCACATAAAAACAAATATTATTTTATAGCCTACATAAAAAACTATTCTATTAAAACTATTAGAGTAGCTCATATAAAATTTACTTTAGTTTTTACGTCTAACTTAGTAAGATTACTATAGATTTGACCCATAAATACCACTTTCTATATGGACAGAAAAAAACCTCAATATTCCCTCTTACAAGGAACATTACAATTTCTTCAAAGTGTAATTTTGAAGACCTCACAGAGTATCACCTAAAATTTCAAAAAAGAAATATATGAGCAGGGCCGGGGAAATAGCTCAGTGGAATAAGTGCTTGCCTGGCAAGCGGAAGGTCTGGAGTTTGATCACTGGTACTGGAAAGAAAGAAAGAAAAAGAAAGAAAAGAAAAGAAAGAAAAAATTGCATAAGCAATTGAAGTGTTTAAAGTTACCAGGACTTGGTTATTTATTTATTTATTTAGTGGTACTAGGAATCCAGAGCCTGCAAATCAAACTATGTCCCCAGACCCTTTTTTCATTTTTTAGTTTGAGACTTTTAGTCTTTTAACATTTTTAATATAACAATCTCCTGTCCATCTTCCAAGGGAAACAGTTAAAAAATCTCATTAAATTTTTAAACTGCCTAGGCTGGCACTGACCTAGCCATCCTCCTACCTCAGCCTCAGTACTTACTGCTCAGATTCTACCCATACTCAACCCTCACCTCCCCCCAAAATAGTTCAGTTAATTTACCTCTGCATTGGGTGTACAAGAGCGCCTGATGAATCGAGCCTCATTCCCAAAAGTCCTGGCATCAACACACATTTCTAGCCCATGAAATTTAGAATAGAATAAAACAAAAGGATATGGTCTACAAAAGAAAAAAATTACAGGCTTTTAATGTTTTAATATAACAACCTATTGTCCTTCCAAGAAAAAGTTAAAAATACTTGAGAAAAGAGTTTAAGAACTGTCTACAAGGTTCTCAGTAAGGAGAGCACAAGTCTGACTCCAAAGCCTACTCTTACCTTTGGTTATTTTATGCTAACAAGCTTTCTGTTTTTCTCTATTATAACCTTACCTAAGCCAAAGGCAATTAATTTGAGACAGAATCTTACTGTATAGTCAAGGCTGGCCTTGAACTCATGGCAATGCTCCTGCCTCAGCCTTGGGATTATAGGTATGGGCCACCACACCTGGCCTAAGATAAAGAATGACCACTGCTTTTATAGAAAGATTTATATTCTGTACTTTTAATCTTTTCTTTATTTATTTGGTACAGGGTCTCACTAGGCAGCTCAGACTTGCAGTGATCCTCCTGTCTCAGCCACCCCAGTGCTGGGATTACAGGCGTGCACCACTATGCCCTGTTTTGGTGACTGCACGATTCCCCTCCCAGGGCCAGCATGGCATGCGGTACCAGGGATTGAACCAAGTCCTTGTGCTTGCCACGCAGGTGCTTAGACTGCCAAGCTATCTCCCAGTCCTATAGTCTACACTTTTAAAGTTCTTATTCCTTGGTACATTTAAAACTGTTGGATTTATATCTGTTTCAGATCAACCCAGCTATATGAAAGGGGAAAGACTCCCAGGTATTTTTCAAAACTCAAGTTTTGAAACAAGATGTTTTTAATAATTTAGGGCATAGGGTGGTAATGTTATCCCCTGAAAGATAGGAATATACTTCTAGATTTTAGGGAAGCAATGGCTATCAGAGGATCATATTATTTCTCTAGCAGAATCCCAAAGCGCAAAATAGGCTTCCAAAACTATTCCAACACCAATACTGTGGGAGTTGCTGGGATGGCAATAATACAGGGACAAATCTACCACTGTGTAATAAAGAGGAACAGACTTTGCCTAGTGACACCGGGATCTTCTCAGGCTCACATTCTGGTTAGAAAGTGATACTGGTTACTTCAAGAACTCATGACATCCTGACTGGTATGTTACACATCTAGCTTATGCTGCTTTTTATTTATCTTTTATTTATTTATTTTTTATTTATTTTTCTTGGCGGAACTGGGGGTTGAACTCAGGCCCTTGTGCTTGCCAGGGAAGCGCTTATTCCACTGAGCCATCTCGCTGGCCCAGCTTTTTATTTATCTTCGATGTAGATTCCTAGGATTTTCAACAGAGAGCTAGGCAAGACTCAGGAATATATATGCTTTTGTTGTGCTGATATCATAGCTCAAAAGTCATCATGAGTCACTGGTCAACCACAATAGTTTCACATAATGAAATGATTATATCTGGAAGGAAAAATGCACAGCATAGAGTGAGATGCCCAAATGTAATAGTGAACTGTGGAAAATATACTAACATACCTTTTAAAGAAATATCCATTTGCTTCAAACTGTTCTCTTAGCATAAACTTCCCTCTGTATTCAATGATAAGTGCATCTGGAGGCAAATCTTTGGCAGATTTCAAAATTTTCTTATTCTTTTGAATATGGCTCTAAAATCACAGTAAATATAGAGATTAGTATGGCTTGGTTGTTTTCAGTCTAAAGATACACAAAACCGAAAAGGGTCTTGTTTTACAATTTTTTGACAAATGATATATATTTACCTCTACAGGAGGTTTGAAGAGTAAATTATTGATGTTCATTTCTGCTTTATTCATGTCTTTTTTGTCAGTTCCATTGCCTAATCTCAGAGCTATTCTTTGTGCCTCCCTCTGAATACCCTCACTATACTGGTTATTATTTGCCTCTTCATAGCGATCCATCCATGCTTTGATTTTTGTCTCCCATCCAAAATTTGAACCATCAGATGAAGGATCAATTTCTGGAGCTGAACCCTAAAATTGCAGCAAAGTAAACATCACTACTTGAACTTAGAGACACACACGAACACACACAAACTCAATTACAAGGTATGCAAAAGAATATAAAACAGAAATAGTGTTTGGCTTTCTAAGCTGATCACAGTGAAAGAAGATCTTTCTGTGTACCACAAAAATATGGGTCAAAAACTCAAAGAAACTGAGCTGAAATAGCTAGCATCCAAGCTTCACTGTCAAGACTGCAGCAGACTCAAGGGCACCAACAAAACTGCAAATACTTAGACCTCAGGCTAATGTCAGCAAATAGCTAAAAAAAAAAAGCATATACATTTTCAAACTTTAAAGACAATACGTATCTATCCTATAGCAACAAACCATCAACTGTTAAATCTGCAACTATGTGAACTACAAATGCTACGTATTCAGTACATTTATTTCTGATATATGGTTTTAATGTTTTATTAAAAAATTGAATCTTAATCTAGTGCAACTTCAAGATCTATCAAGTGACCATAGGATAAATTTATTTATCAATGCTGCTCCATTTCCATCGAAAATATCAAAATCTCTGTGAGAAAAAAAAATGATTTCCATGTGGAAAATCTAATTTTATTATCATATAAAGTTCATAAAGGTCCCTACATACCCCAGACATGTACATAATAACACAGAACTAAAATTTACCATCAGTCCAGTCGTCCATCATATGCATCACCAATCTTTATCACAAATACCACTTTCTATAATGATATACTAAAATAAACTGTAACTATTTGATGGGCATAGGCTTACTTTATCAGTTGGTATTTTATGTGTACACACATTATCCATTATGATAATCACTCAAGAACAGATTTTATGAGATGCTACTTCATGTTAAACTTTCCCTATGATTTGTTAAGATATTCTGTTCAATGTTTAAATTGTTTCTTTTTTGAGCACCCAAGAAATGCCTTCTGCTGTCCTGGTCTTTCTTTTATGCAGCTCTTCCTGACCTCTTGAGCCACACAAAACTTAATACTGAATTAGTTACTGGAGTTGCAATGATTTTAAACTGATATTTTCTTTTTAAATTTCTTTAATCATTTATTTAGTTAGTTAGTTAGTTAATTAGTTAGTACTTTGGTACAGGGTCTCGCTACGCAGCTCAGACTTGTAGTGATCCTCCCATCTCAGCCTCCTCAGTGCTGGGATTACAGGTGTGCGCCACCACGCCTGGTCTTGGTGGCCACATGGTGTGCCTGGAGCCCAGAAGGCATGTGGCACCAGGTATCAAACCCAGGTCCCTGCACTTGCCAGCCAGGCACTTAGACTGCTGAGCTATCTCCTCAGCCCTAAATTAATATTTTCAAGTTAAAGAAAAGGTAATTTTTATTTATTTATTTTATTTATTTTCATTTTTTATTTTTTGGACAGCATCTTGCTGTATAGTTTAGACTAGCTTTGAACTCACTGTGAGGCCCCAGCTCACCTTCAGTTCAGAGCAATCAGTGCAGGTGTGGCGGTGCACACCTGTAATCCCAGCACTGAGGAGGCTAAGGCAGGAGGATACCCTTGAATTGAGGCCTGCCTGGGCTACAGAGTGAGCTCAAGGCCAGCCTCAACCGTACACTGAGGCCCTGTCTCAAAAAGACAAAAAACAATCCACAATCCTCCTGCCTCCAGCCTAAGAAAAGATAATTTTTAGAGACACACAAAAACATTTTAAAATTTCAAATTCTGAAGTCACCTCTTTGTGTACTAAATGAAAATATCTCAAGTTAAATAAACGATGCTACTTTTACACGTGGCCTAAAGTTGAGGTGATTACATAAGTTGAGATAGAGGAACGCTAGAATATGAATAGCCAATAACAATCAAAAAAAGTTTCAGAACTCTTTAGTCTGCAAATTCCATACATCCAAGTTAACACACTAAGTACAAAATCTCCAATTTCTCATAAAAAACATTTTATGAAGCTCTAGACTTTCACTATACCAAACGACACAGAGAGAGTTACAAAACTATGCGAAAAATCATTTGGGAGTGCTGGTTAATATTTTCCGTTTTCCAGAAATGTAGCAAAATGACTTATTATTCTGCTTCATACAACAGGAACAAAAAATATGTAACATATTCCTCACATCCTATTTGACTGTATTACCCTTTTATACCTAACCTAGAAAGATACAATAACAACACAAAGCTACTTCTATAACTCAATACCAGTGTTTTAGGGAAGAAGCAGAGTTACAGAACCTTGCTTCTCTGAGCAATTTTAGCATCTGGTAAATTGAGAAAATATTTATTCTAATTAACTCAAGATACATGTGACCACTTTGTATTTACATGTTAAGTCTATGGTGACTGGTAGAACAACTGCTTTGACTTCTTTAGAATCCCAATAAAATGCAAAAGAGCAAATTTTCCATTTCCTAATGTGATTCTACATTTATGTGTATGAAAATATACTAACATAATATGGAAAATATAATACTCATTCAAATTCTAATTACCCTAACTTACTATTTCTAATTATTTATATCCATCCCCTTTTTCATTATTTTTAGAGTACTGAACTAAAAAAAGTTTAGTTCAATACTCTAAAAATAATGACAGATTAATCCAGTTAAGAGTTCTAAAGTCTCACTTCTTGTAAATGTAAAAAGCAATGAAGAGAACATATATTGGAGAAAAAGTCATTTAGAGGCGTTGGGGAGATAGCTCAGTGGGAATAATGCTTGCCTGGCAAGCACAAGGTCCTGAATTCAAACCCTAGTACCACCAAAAAAAAAAAAAAAAGATTAGCAAAAAGTCATTTAGTAAGTTCCTCAAAATAGTTCACAGTAACACCTTCAATTTAATATACTTACCTTAACTCTTGATGACTTTCTAGATCCTTCACGAAAGGCCTGAAATAATCATGAGATTCTGAGTTAGTTTTTTGAAAGCTACATATATTTAAGAATTAATGAGCTCACTGAATTTTTTTATTGAAATGTAACAGTAAGTTTGGTGATTAATAATAGTGGCAGGACTAGGAGAATACTGAAATAAAAAAGGTACCCCCTGGAATTTGTTCTATTACAAACATAATGCAGGCTATTTAGAATATAAAAGTATGTATATAATGATGCTAAGACAAAGCTTTGCAAATATTCTATGTGCTCAGTGTTACAGCTGTCACTACTATATAATATGATGACTACAGATACTAATTATGTAGTCTACATTTCAAAAAGCTAGAAGAGGGGTAGGAATATAGCTCAGAGGTAGAGTACTTGCCCAGCATGTGCAACAACCTGGGTTCATTTTGCAGTACCACCACCAAAACTAGAAGAATTTGGAAGTTTTCATCACAAAAGAAACAATGAGAAATAAAATAAATGTTTAGCCTTATTTAAACATGAATCAAATACTTGCTACCCTTAATATGCACAACTGTTTTTGCCTATCAGATGGATTTTTTAAAAATAAAAATTATAACCACAGAAAAATATGATAAAAACTGAGAGGATTACCAGAAATACTGTAATATTTTGAAGTGATGAGACATGGGAGATAATGCTATTATTTTAATTCTCTAACCAACTAGCCAATAATATTTCTGCCTTTAATAGGTAAACATATTTAAACAGAGCTGAGGGCTGGAGAGATGGCTCAGTGGTCTAAAGCACCTACTTGGAACAAGCTTGGCAAAGCACAGGGACGGCGGTTCAATCCCCCAGCACC